TCATCCAATGATAAATTAAGACCAGCTTCAACCATCTCCATGCAGAATTGTCTAAGGATGCACCAAGCAAACAAGAGCCAGTTTGGGATACCAGTTGTCTCCGTCTGCAATTCACTTGTTTTGGGGAAAAGGATGAGCATTTCCTAGGAATTAGGAAGCTGGGCCTCCATGGCGTCCTGCCACTCCAACTAAGGATCTGTGTCATGTAGCATCAAATTGAGAGTTTGACGTGTATCAGTACCATGTCGATCCATGGCAAAAAAACATTCCTTTCCAGAGTCAATAACCACAGAAACATTAGAAGCATCTCCATTAGAGCCATGTGGAGTTGATTTTTTGTCTATACCTCCTGAGGACTCACCAAGGCCACAAAGTAAAGGAAGCAGTAATTCTTCTCTGGCCACTACAACTCTTTAAGTGGAGTCACCTGGTATTTCTACATGCATTAGTCCAACACAGAGATGGTTTCACAAAAAGGGTTCTACCTCTTTGTTGGTGGAAAGATTATGTTGGCTAAGAGGAGGAGGGCTATAGTGGATGTATGACAGAGGGCATATCTATGTAGCTACAAGGAAATGTTTATGATGTGTTGCTTTATTTTTCTCAAGTCATATTAATGTCTTGTCCCTAATTGCATATAACAATGCAGGAAACCCCCAAATCATTTTATAACAATAAATGGACTGCAAACGTAAAGATCCGGACATCCTTTGCCTGTTTGACTTGGAAGGTTTTTGTCGTACAGAAATTTTTGCTGCAATGAATTTTGGTCAGAGGTAGGTATACTTGGTAGCAAATGAAAGGGATGGCTTTCCCTTGCATAGAAGAAGTGAGAAGCAGTGTGGCACAGTAGAAAAAAGTAACTGGACTTGCCATCAAAGGGTGTGAATTCAAATCTTACCTGTGTTACCTCTGAAACTATGGACAAATCCCTAGGACTTAGCTGCTCATATGCAAAATGAAGGGGCTGGACTAGTTGGCCCTGAAGGACCTTTCCAGCTCTAAATCCATAATACTGTGAATAATCAGTAGCTCTCTTTTCTTAATCCTCTATTTTTTACTTTTCATATGAAATTATTTCTACATATCATTATGATGACAAGTTGACTAACACTGTTTGAAACGTTAGGAAAACTAGCACAATGTTTTGCCAAAATATGTGTGGAAACTAGAATAATAAGAAGAAAAATATTATGGTAGTTGATAAATAGAGATTGTTTGGTTAAGGAATTCAGCATGGAATATTGTCCTGGTGGCTTATATTAAAAAAAAAAAAAAACAAACTAGGAAGACGATGCTATGCTCTCCCAGCTCTGTCACCATGACTGAGCTGCCTTCTCCCCTTACAACATCCCCCTACCATACCTGCCCCCTTTTCCCATTGATGAATTCCTTGCATGGGCCTCAGTTTGGGGGTGGGGCCAAAGCAGACATGTTTCATTCCCTCTTGGCTGAGCTGGGAACCTCTTCTCCACCCACCCCTTCTTTCAGCTTTTTTTTTAGCTACATGGCCTCTACTATTAGAATTGAAGCTCTTGTGGGCAGGGACTATCTTTGCGTGTATCTCTAGCACTTAGCATGATTTATGGCACATGTTAAGCCCTTAATAGAGGCTTGCTGTCTGGAAAGCTCTGAATAAAAAAAAATGTAGTTAACTACTCTGGATGTTCACCAGAATTAGCTAATTAGAATAAAAATTGGGTGCCATTTTAGAGGAAAAAGGGCAGCTAGATGGTGCAGTAGATGGAGCACCAGACCTACAATCAGGAAGATTTACTTTTATGAGTTCAAATCAGGCCTCAGACACTTACTAGCCATGTGACCCTGGGCAAGTCACTTAACCCTGTTTGCCTCACTTTATCATCTATCAAATGAGCTGGAGAAGGAAATGGCAAACCACTTCAGTATCTTTGCCAAGAAAACATCAAATGGGATCACAAAAAGTTGGACACAACTAAAACAACTGAACAACAGCAACGATTAGAGTAAAACAGAGTAAAAAAAGAACTGGGAGTCACATCAGAAGGATGTATGATCTTTAAGAGCAGAAACTGTCTCACTTTGGTTTTTGGCCCAGCACCTAGTATAATAATATTCATTACATTATTTTGGTGTCCTCAATAGTAAACATATCTGTATATAGAATGGTTTGGGGGTTTCAGTTCGTTGATTTTGACTAAAGCTATGACTTTCATCAGTGTAGGAAGGTCTCAGGGAGGAAACTCCTCTGCCAACGCAGATCAACATCTTTTCTACAATTTATAGTCATACAGAGTTGGCTGGGTCAGGGTCACAAAACTTGAAACCAGGTCTTCCTGACTCCAAAGCCAGCTCTTTATTAACTACACCATGCTGCTTATATAGATGGGTGTATGCGTATATACACACAACAACCCATACATATAGGCATACACATGTGTATGTATGTATGTATGTATGTATGTATGTGTATGTTGTTCAGTCATTTCCATCGAGTCTGACTCTTTGTAACCCCATTTGGATTTTTTTTTTGGCAAAGATACTGGAGTGGTTTGCCATTTCCTTCTCCAGCTCATTTGATAGATGATAAAGTGAGGCAAACAGGGTTAAGTGACTTGCCCAGGGTCACACGGCTAGTAAGTGTCTGAGGCCAGATTTGAACTCGGGGAGATAAGTCTTCCTGACTCTAGGCCTGGTACTCTATCCACTGTGCCCTCTAGCTGCCCATATGTGTATATGTATACATGTATGCATAAAATGTGTGTATGTGAGTATGCATATACATACATATGTATACTTATATATTAACAAAATTGTGTTATATATATTCCAAAATGTCTGGTTTGGCTATAAACCTCATTTTGTGCATATGCATATGTGTATGTACATATACAATATATGTGTGTGTTTATACATATATACATGTATATGTATATTTAGATATATGGATGCATGTGTATATGGATATGGATATGGATATACATATACACATAATGAGATGCATAGCCAAACCAGACATTTTGGAATGTATGCAGCACAATTTTGTTAATCCTAATCATTATTATTATTATTATATAACATATATAATATAATCAATAATCACTAACAATAACAACTGGAGATAACAATATAGATATACTTAAAGTACCTGCTTAAGAAATGTTTGTTGAATTGAGATTGACTGGATTGCTCAATATTTATGGGTTTGCAATATGAATGAATGGAAAATTAAAAGGTTATACCCATATAATTGCAATGACTATCTCTGCAATATAGTATATTCAATTCTTATTTCTGTTCCTGAGTATTATATGTACAAAATGAAAGGCAATACATCTAATTGTTTAAAAAAAAAATCTAAAGTCTTGGTTGTGACATGCAGCACCATTTCTAGGTAGCTCTCCCATTTTCCCTCAAGGCTAACAGGTTCACAGTTAGGGGCTATCTAGCCCAATCCAAGCCCAACCAGGAATTCCCATTACAACATTCTCGGTAAGTGTTCATTAGAATCTCTTCGTGATGGGTACTTGCTACACTTCCTAGGCAGCCAATTCTGCTTTGAAACGGCAGTCTCGTGCCAAAAAAGTATAAAATAATAACAGCTTTGGCCAAAAACATAGCAATGCCTCAAAAGTGTCCAACTTAATCATAACAAAAATTAAATAAATTACAAAAATAAAAGTTGAAAATGCCAATTCCTGAATTATCTTCATTTCAATTTCAATTTTTATGTGTTGTTTTTGCCTGTTCTAGTCATTTAAATGTGAAAATTTTTCATTCTCCAGATGTTATATTCGAATCAACAGTGCTGATTAATTTATTGATAGAGTAGGTGCTTTCTGAGGACCTGAATTCTATATAACCCTGGAATTAATAAGACAGTGGAAGGTAGGGGCAGAGGTGGGAAGGAGGGGCAAGGAGAGCACATGGCCACATTTAAACAGGGTCAATTTTACAATAGAATGTAAACTAAGATTGCTACAGGTTAAATATTACTGCTGTGCATAAAATAACAGTAGAGGCTGCTAAACACAAGAGAAATAGTATCTATTTTGAGGTTGCTTTGAAAGCAATAGAACATATTGGCAGGCAAATAAAGATGTATAAATGCTAATGATGATAACATTTGGCATGCAAATTTGATGCAGCCAATTAAAATTACTTCAAAAATAAAATTTAAATGATGGTCTTTTGATTTGCTACTATAGATAGACACATAATGAATTTTTTAGATTTTCCTTGTTTTATGATTTTGAAAGACAACTTAGATTTGAGGTAAAAAAAAAAACATAGCCTTTTACCTCTCTGGGTCTCATCTGTAATTTTTTTTCTCATCTGTAAAATTAGGGAGCTAGACTAGATGATCTCTATGGCCTTTTATAGCTCTAAAATCTATGAGCCCATGACCTTGGCATCATAAATCTCAAAAGGTAAATAAAATGTGGAGATCTTGGTTTAGGTCCTAAGCAACGTAGCCACCCTATGGATTTTGTTGTTATTAGAGAGCATATTTTTTTTCCTTTTAACTGATAAAAACAATGGATTTCTTTATAATAGAATTAATATTTTTAAATTATTCTGTTAGTTATAAAAAGCAACAAAAATGACTATATAGATTCCTAGGGAAATGGAAAGCATTTTCACTGGCTATCATTTGGAAAGCAGGAATGATTCCGGGAAGTTTTGTTTTTTTTTTTTAAATCAAGACTGTCAGGAATGTAATGGCACTAATCTTCTGCATATTAAAGAACACGAGGCTCCTATGAAATATTAACAATATATTCTGGGCAAGGAAACTGGACTATGTTTCTGAGGCTTTGCAAAAAAAAAAAAATGAAAAGGTGAGAATGTTGCCGGAAGCCCAGCAGTGATTTACAACCCATTTCTGCTTTCAAAAGGCACCGACTAGAGGAAAACTTTAATTGAGCAAAACATAACAAAGTATCATTTCCTGCAGCAGAAACACCCACTCCTACCAGGGCCCTCCATACGCAGGACAAAACAAACAGCACACATTCAACCTGAGGGGAGCCCACAGGCTCGCTGGGCCACTGGCTGGCTCTTTGTCACCAGATGCAGCAGGTTGAATGCAGACATCACTGTGCTATCTTCACCAACAAAACGAGAGGCAAAGAACGGGGGCAAGAGCTGAGTAGGAAAAAAAAAAAGATGAAAACAAATTGAAGCATCACATATGTTAGACATTCTATTAATGCAACTGATGAGCATGGGGTGCTTTATCGGGAGCTAAATACATAGTTCTAAGAAATTCAAATGCCAGGTTTTTAGATGGGCTGAACCTGCCCTTTGGTTTTTATTATGAAGGTCTTTGCGTTGCATTCTAGGTCTTTGCATCGCATTCTAGATCTTTGCATTGCATTCTAGATCTTTGCATTGCACTCTAGAGCTTTGCATTGCATTCTAGACCTTTGCATTGCATTCCAGGTCTTTGCATTGCATTCTAGGTGCTTTCTTTAGAAATAAATCTGCTACACTAAAAACAGAACGATCATGCCACCATACTTGGGGACTACCATTTGCATGAGCTTTAGTCAAGGAAAATGAGGCAAGGAGGGAATAAAGAACAATTTTTTAAAAATCTAGCACAAAAATAAAATCTTGAGGGGTGAGCGTATTTATAAAAGCCTTTTTACTCTACCTTAAAAAAAGTTAAGTGATTCCTTTGGCTAGGGGGCCATATTCTACAATGTAGACTCTAGATAAGCAGTACTCAAAGTGCAGTCCATGAACCCCCTTCAATCCTTTCGTCCATGAGCTCAAAACTAACTTCATAATAATGTTCACATTTTAATTTCTAACATGATAAACATTGATATAACCTATAGAAACAAAAGCTCTTTGGGAGGTCCTTAATAACTTTTAAGAGTGAAAAGGTGAAAAGGGATCTCGTGACCAAAAGTTTGAGAACTGCTGGTCTAGACTCAAGCCATCATTTAACACTGGAAAGGATGACAACTAATGCAAAATAAATAAACAAATGTGTGTATATGTGTGTGTATATACACAACACATACAATTTTACTTTGAAATAAAAATTTTCATCCTACTGTCTCCATTTTCTTTGCCTTATGAATGAAAAATGTACTGCGCACATTGAGGCAGCATGGCCCTTTGAGGTATTCTTAAAGAGAACTGGGGGAAGGGTAGAATGGCAAATTCAACTCAAACATTTATTACATGTAGCCTACATTGTATTTAATAAATGTGCTAGAAGTTAAGGAGACATAAATTTAAAAAGACAAAGACCCTGACTACAGGAAACTTGCAATCTAATTAGGGATAGCAACACAGCATAAATTAAAAAATGATAGGAGATGACCATGATAAAGGAAGAGATTCAGACAAAGCTATCCAAGGAAATTTGAGGAAGGAAAGGTGACTGCTAGCTAGAAGGATCCCAGAAGGCTTCATGAAGGAAGTGGTACCTACACTGAGCCTTGAAAGAAGGAAAGGGTTTTAATAGGTAGAGGAATGTAGCATGGATTACTTTTCAAACATGTAGGACAGTCCATGTAAATGCATGAAAGCAGGGAAAGCGGAATGAGATCCTGGTGAACAGGTAATGTAGTTTGGCCGGAACATGGAGTGCATAAAGGGAAGTAGTATGAAATGAGGCTGGAAGGCCAGTGACACTGTCCTTGCTGTTCCTCTTACATTCTCTCCCGGCTCCCAGCCTTTGCAATGGCTGTGCCCTATGCTTGGAGTGCACTCCCTTCTTACCTCTGCCTCCAGCTTTCCCTGGCTTTCTTCAAAACTCAGCTCAAATCCCACCTTCTAAGAGGACTTTCCTGGGTCCCTTCTCCATTCCCCACCCTACCTTTCAACTACCACAGCTAGAGCCTTCCACCCTGATATTAACTCTCGTCTACTTAGTATACATGGTGTCCCAAAAGTCTCAGGACAGTTTTAAGTTTTAATAGCTCTCTCTCTCTCTCTCTCTCTCTCTCTCTCTTTCTCTCTCTTTCTCTCTCTTTCTCTCTCTCTCTCTCTCTCTTTCTCTCTCTTTCTCTCTTTCTCTCTCTCTCTTAAGAGAGGACAGTTTCCTCTTGCCATACTTTTTTTTTTTTAATGTAAAATAGTTCAAAAGCTTGTTGCCTATCGCAGACTACAAATATCAAAGTAAAACGCTGTCAGATCCTCCAAGGTCTGAAGTGAAACCAGCATTAGAAATGATTCAAGATACCAAACCTCTAGCAATTCCTCGATCTCCCTAAAATTAGTGAGTCTTGCTCATTTCCTGAAGCCAAAAAAAGAGTTTTCCCCTGGTCTCTTTTGACCTCCCTTTAAGAACAAACACATAATACACAGTAATATATTTCACCAAAACATTCTGGAGTCTATCTGACAGAAATCTGCTTGTATTACCATGCCTGAACTCTGACTTTTCCAAACGAAACCCATGTCAAAACCACCACATTTTTGCATTACTACCCGGAGACAAAAGGGAGCAAAGCAGGAAAGGTAAGTTTCACAATGCCCTGCCTGGAAGAACCATTAAACAGAAATAAACATGTCATTTTCACGAGTGACTACAGGACCAGTAGAAGAACATTCCTCTGGAGCAGACTACTGGCCAATAAAAGATCAAAAGTCGATACCTAACAATACCACAAACAATATTTTTTTTAAAAAAATGTATTTTGGGGTGGGGGAGACAGAAGGGAAAGTTACCTTCTCTGTGAGGGATAAAGTGCGCAGTGAAAATGTAATTACCCAGCAAAGCTGCAGCCTTATTGTACTTCTGCAACTGATCGTAAAAAACCCTCTTCCTATTCTATTTCATCAACTGCAGTCCCAGGCAGCCTGATCAGCTTCCAATCACAGCAGCCATCTGGCTTGTGTCAAAGCCCGGCGGGCCAAGCCAGCTACAATGCCATGGAAAGAAAACCAGTGATGTCACTCTCCTCCGCAGGTCAGGCCAGCAACAGAAACACAGGCTGCAATTAAAAAATCCTCGTCCCTTCCTCAGAGGAGCCTCCAGCCTGAGGTGACCAACTGTTATTTGATATCAGGCCTGCTTTTGCTTTAACCCAAATAGCCAGGGCTCCATCTAGTGGCAAAATCATTTTGCCCAATTTTTGGGGGGATATATATATATATATATATATACACACACACACACACACACACATAAAAGCTCAAATCAAATGGTTTGCATGGGGAAAGGGGTCTTGCCTTTTGCAACAACAGAAATAGAGCCCCTACATTCATGGATTTTTAAGCAGTTATACCTAGTTGCAATGAGGTATGAAAAACACGTGACTTAGCTCTACGCCTCCAATCTCAAATAAACCGAGTAACCATTTCATGATCCTGTTAGTTAATATAGTCTAACAATAACAACAGCTAGCATTTATATGCCATTTTAAGGTTTGCAAAGTGCTTTACACATATCTCATTTTATCCTCACACCCAATCCTAGTACGATGATAATAATAAAAATAATAATTTTCAAATAAACTGATCATTCCACGAGCCTGTTAGTCAATCTGGTCTAATAATAATAGCATTTATCAAGCACTTTGAAGATTGCAAAGCACTTTACAAATATTATATCATTTTATCCTCAAAAAAACCTTCGTCTAACAATAATAACAATAATAATTCTCAAATGACTGTTTCATAATCCTGTTAGTCAATATAGTATTATAGTAGTAATAATAATAGCTAGCATTTATATAGCACTTTAGGTTTTCAGATTGCTTTACAACTATTATCTAATTTTATCCTCACAAAAAACCTTGTCTAATAATGATAAATAATAATAACTTTCAACAAATAATGACTATTTCATACTCCTATTAGTATGAAACATAGTATAGTATAGTATATAGTATAATTATGACCATGATAATAACAAAAATGGATAGCATTCATATAGCACTTTAAGGTTTCCAAAAATATTATTTCATTTTACCCTCACAACAACCCAGGGAGATAGGTGCTATGGGTATTCCCAGTTTTCAGAGGAATGTATAACCTATATAATATTTAATATTTGCCCTCCCCAAAAAGTGGAAAATCCAGGAGGTGCATCCAGAATAGCCCTATTTGATTTTTTTCCTTCCCTTCATTCCATCATTTATAGAAACACAGAATCTCAAAGTTGAGAGGGACCCGAGTCCATCCAATCCAAAACATACCTGTAACAGGAATCTGCTCTACAACACACTCACCCAACTTTCATTTAAAGATTTCCACTGAGAAAAAACCCTTTGGAGGTAGTACATTTTGGATTTACATGGCTTTCATCATTAGAAAATTTTGCTTTATGTCTTATTATGTCACTTCCTTACTCAGGAATCTTCAGTGGCTCCCTATTACCTCTAAAAATAAAATGCAAACTCCTGCTGTCCAGCTTTTAAAAATTCTTTACAACCTGGCTACCACCTATTTCTCCAACTTGATGAGACATTACTGTCCCTCCTTACACTCCAGCAAAGTGGCCTACTATATGCTCGTCATACGTGACATCGCATCTTTCATGTCCACCATTCCTGAAAAGCTCCACCTCTTGAAAGCCCTAACATCCTTCAACACTCAACTCAAGCGGTACTTCCATCAGGCATGAGGTTTTCTGTTATTCCCCAGCTGTTAGTGCTTCCACCAATACCCCTTAATTACTTTATTTTAATTCGATAGATATCTTGTATTTGCCTATCTATGCACATTCCTCCTCCTTTCCTTTCAGGAGAATTGGGACTGTTTGATTTTTTTTTCCTTTTGCAAACCCAGCACCCACCATAGTAGGGGCTTAAAAATTCTTTACGTTAAAGCAATTCTAAATTTGCCTCCTAGCAACCTTCACTCATGGCTCTGTCCTCTGGGGCCAAATAGAACAAAGATTGTTCTATAGACTTTAGAATGCAAATGATAAATGAATACGTGTTTTAATGTACACTAGAAAATATTATTATGTTATACTAATATTGTTAGAAAAATAAAACAATCCCCTAAGCTGTTAATGATCGCCCACCCTTACATTTTATCCCTCTTCCAAGATGGAATTATATGCTTCTCTGCAAAAAGGTTCCTACCTTTTAAGAGATTCTACTACCTGTATTCCTAAACACAACCTAAGTTTAAACCATTTTGGAGTCTCCAATTCAGGGCTGAACGCTTAGATA